CCTTTCCACAATGACATGAGTAGGCCTCATGATGCGATTATATTTCAACTTTAGCCCTGCCTCCCAAAAAGACTTAACTTGGCTGCCATTTTAGCCTAGCCTAGGTCCCATCAGCTCCATCAAAGGGATTTGATACCTGATCGTGGGAAGTGACACTGTTCGATTAAGCAAAAATGTGGATTTTATTGCGAACACGTCGTATGGCTAAGACATTTGATGATACTACTCTATATCAATTAAGTAGGATATATTGAATAAAATTTAAAGTCGCATACTATAGTGTCTGAGAGTCGGAGGGGGCTTCATGTTGCATAAGAGGAAGTCAGAATAAAATAGTGAAAAGACTGGAAATATATCAAGTGTCGTATGATCAGCCAACCTGGGGGCCCCTCACTGTGGGACAATTCAACTATGGGTCCTTAACTTATCCTATGCGACGTAAAATGACTAAGTTCGTATTTGAGTATTACTGATAGTACTACTTATAGCGAAAATTAGTAACATTTTCAACTGCAATGGCCAAGAAATATTTGCTCAATCGATAATCTCACGAGAAAAATGCGAGTTAGAATAAGCCTGGCTTGCTTCGAGTGTTGCATTTGCCCTGTGACCGACTGGTACGCGTAGCCGAGTAGTGAAGTTAAGTGGTAATATTCATACGATACTCATGACCCGGGATCGAATCCCGATTGGGGTACTGATGAAACTTGGGTGAAGTCATATCTGCCGTCCACTCTGGATAAGCTCAGTTTTTGGGAGGCAAGAATATGTGAAATTGAAAGGTATCTTGAAGGGCTACTTATGTGATTATGGCGAGTAGTCAACTAACAGTCCTTAATTCTCCCTAAGCTACTTAGAGCGACTGAGTCCTTATTCATGAATTACTGAAAATCTCGAACACTACTCATATCGAATAAAAGTGAAGCTGTTTATTCCAATGGTAGGCACATTTATGTCTTGTCGACTACAAAATGTCATTTTGGAGAGATCTGATTTACCTCGAACGCTGCATCTGCCCCGTGGACGCAGGAGAGAAAGAAAAACGATTCATTCTGGTTGAGAAGGCTTTTTAGTCAAGTAAAATTCGACTGAAATCGCAGATTTCACTTCATGTTTCGTCTCACCTAAAGCAAGCTTATGTATTTCTGCCTTATTCATGTATTAAGGTTTAATGACATCGGAGCCTGACAGTAGGCGTTTTTGATCATTATGATTTAGGACAACTATTGCGTATAGATGTTAACCCACAAACAATCAAGTAAAAGTAGCATGACCAATATAAAGGATGATTGGCCAAACCATTCTATATCTAGTTATAGTTGAATTTTCCCACATTATGGGAAGATTTAACTTCCAGACACTTTAAACCCCCAAACCAAATAGGATAAATACATCAAAAGAGCACTAACAAATGATAGAGTTTAGTCAAGATGAAGAAAAATGCACTTAGAAACAACTGCCTCACCTGAAAGTGATCGTGCATCTCCTCTATTTCTCGCTGCATCTCCTCCACCTCTTCTTTAAGCAGCTCATTCTCCTCCATCACCTCTTGGCAGAGCTGTTCCACTTCAGTCAGCCGCTGACGCAACTCAGCTCCACCACCCGCAGCTCCGTCAACCATGGCGCCAGAAGTTCCACTGCCCGGCGACCCAGGCGGACCGAGGTCACCACCGGCCGTCGGTACCACAGTCTCTCCGGTACATCCCGAGACACCGGCTCCTGCAGTAAAACTGCTCGTCTGGCCGGCACCAGAGGCCTTTCGAACAGTGGCCTGGTCACTCTCGGGCAGACGAAGTCGCTCTCTGGGCCAGATGCAAAGTCATACAAATGAGCACATAT